TCTTGAAATTTAGGAGTATTTTATTGACAAATATATATTAGTAACTGGGTCAAGTGGGATAGAAGGCTTGATAAAATAAATTTTGCTGGATTAATTTGGCTGGAAAGTGCGGGAAAGACAATTTGATGCAAAAATAACTGCAAGCACAGAATGCTTTTATCCAGTGAATTGGAAATTACAGAAAAGATATCTGAGAGAAGGGCAAAATTAAGACGCCCTTGATTTTAGTTATTGCATCTACCACCAAAACTTCTTGATCTAACCAAAAAAAGGATATCATTTTACTTAACCTTGAAATTAAGTCCTTTTTTGTAAATCTCCTAGGAACAGTATTTCTACACATGCTCCTTAGTCAGCCTGCCTTCCTGGGTCCACATATTAAATCTTTAGCTAAATAATGTGGCTTCCAAGGGAAGATTATATACCCATGCTTGTTGAAACAAGACTAATGTAGGTGTCCTGGTTTTGTTGGGATAGAATCAGTTTTGTGTTCAGGAAAGCTGCATTTCTGAGAAGATTGCAGCACTCGATCTAGTGGGACAAAGTTGGTAAGACACCTTGTTTTAGTTTTTGCCAGCCCTGGGGTGCAGATTACCATAGTGGTCATGGTCTTTAGCACTTTTGAGTTAGCCAGGCGTGGAAACTGGAGGCAGCAAAAGCCAAGGCAGCTGACCCAAGCTGGCCAACAGAATTATCCCATACCATAAACGTCACAGTCACTACTAATGGGAGAGGTTGCTGGAGACAGCCCTCTTTCCTCAAGGCTCGCTTATCCCTGGAGGGTCTCTGCGGTCATTCTGCTCCTGAGGTCTGCTCCCGGGTTCAGTGAGACCACTGTGCTCTTGCTGGAGCTGTGGCTCTCAGGGTCTGTCATCTAGCATTAACTGCTGGGAGTGAACAGTTTGTGACCACTACATGGGCTGAATATAACTTTGTGTATTTTATATTAGTATTGGTATTACTTTGAGTTTCTTCTTATTATTATTTTATTAAATCTGGTTTTATTCAATTCATGGGTCTCCTTTCCTTTTCCTGATTCCTTGGGTGGGGAAGAGTTTTCACGTGATAGAACAACGGCCTAAACAGAGAAAGTCGGCCACCAGAAAAACCTCACTGGACTTTCCCAAGCTCACAGAATTTTGTCCATTGTTACACAGTTCTCTTCAACTAACTAAAGATGGTGTAGATGATTCCTTATCTTTTATACGACTTTTTAAAAAGTGCTTTTATTGCTGAAAACATTACTTTTTATGACCCTTATTTGTAGTTTTAATATCGTGAAGATTTTGCTTTGCAGTTCTATAAAGCTTTTTATCTTGCATGTCAAAGTTCTTAAATTATTGCACATCATTTTTCTGCCTACGTTAACATAAGTCATTCCATCAGAAACAGCAGTGCAAGTAAATGTTTTAAACAGTTTTAGTTAAAAGTAAGGTATCCAACTTAATATTGGGGAATATAACTATAGGACTAGTAAAAAAAAAAAAAGAAAACCAAGCAAAATCATAGGCATAACTCTCTTGGAAGAAGCAGTGCCTTAGGCCATTTGACAGCTACATGGTTTTCTCCTACAGAATCTTCCAAAGTACTAAACAAAACTATTGTAAAAAACAAACAAAAACCCAAACAACCAAATACCATTGAGAACATGAGGAACAAAGGAAGGCAAAGAGGAGAGATCTACATTTGAAAAGTTCTGTCACATTCTCATAAAACAGGGAAAATGGCAACATTCACTAATTTCTTGCCTCAACTGTTGTCCTGAGAAATAATACACAGAATGGGTATAAGGAGCATAAACCTCTCTTCAAGTGGATGTTTACTCCCTGAAGCCAGGAAAAGAGCGACATGGCCTAGGAATCACCAGGATTATAAAACTGTAACTCACCTCTTGCTTCATTCAACAGTTAGGAATGGACTGTAAAGCTTGCTAACATTGTTTTCTTCCTTTCTTGCAGGAGCAAGTAGATAAGGAAGGCAGGCGGGGCTAGATAATGCAGCAGTTGCTGGGTTTATGAGATCTGCAGGAAGCATGTTCTTAATTAATTAACTAGTTCTGCAGGTAATTCCAGCTACTCCAAGAGAAAAGTTAGAGATGTCAGCAAAAGAAGAAGAGCATTTATTGCTCACATAGCTTTTGACACAAACTGGAACAGGTGACATAGCTTTTTGTCTGCTGGTCTGCTTAAGGATTTTGTGACGTGACAATAGGGTGAGACGCTAAGAATATGAAAATATGGTTGGTCTTGTTCTTTACAAAGAGAAGAACTGGATGGCTGGAAAGCCTTTTGTTATCGTATTTTCTTCATCTTATTTAAACCTTTAATCAAACAATTCCTAATAGATTAACTTGAAAAACTGAAGACAGACTTAGCCCAGCTTCTCCTGCTCTCAGCTCTTCTAGCAGTCCAGAAAGCAGAAGCTGTTCACAGTGGTATTATCATGACTACCAGATACAGTGAAATCTTCACTAGTTTAAAGGAGATACTAATGAAATGCTGCTGCTGAAGTCACATCCATGCCCTGGTTACAGGAAGTTTCTAATTTAGGAATAAAGTTCTCTAAACAGCAGAAATACAGGGTAAATACAGCCAAGAATAAAAATAAAGGTCCCATGTTTACTGGCAGATTTCAGTGACAGGAAGTCAGGTGTACCTGAGGATCATTTACCCCTCCAGAGTTGAGAAGGATGACTAATTTAGTACTTGGTTTTTTGTTCACAATCTGCTCCACCCATACCTTAGTAAGCAAAGTCAGGTGCTGCAATACTGTATGTGCAGTTTGTATCATTAGTTTACATGGAGATAGATAGATATATATATATATATAAAAACAGCAAATTCATCTGGATGAACTGAATAATAAAGGTATAAGTCCACTGTGATTGCTGTATGAAGTTACTTCAGTGTTTACTAACATAATAGTCATCACAATTTCCCTAAAAAACTGGATGACAGAGTGATACTGCATGTTTCTGCTCTCCTTAGTGTACTGCTTACCATAGAGATCTGCAAACATTAGTTTACTTAAAGTATTGGAATGAATAAATAGAAAAACAGCTGTTATTGGCTCTCCAAGAACTGAAGTAACATCTTCACAGTTACAAGCCTTTCACAGCCCATTCAACAAGACTTCTGTAGTTGAAAAATAAGTTTGATGGTATACCCATAAATTATGCTGCCAAAAACACTTAAGAATATAGGCTTCTGAAAACTTCAGAGTTTGATAAGTGTTTAAGCTTTGGACAAAGCAAGTCTGGAATGAGAAGGCTGAAAATGGAGAGACATCAGATTTTTATACATAAATAACCTTCCCAGCCTGGCTCATTTTGTTATCACAGAAGTATTGCTTCAATCAGTGAAAAACTAAGTGCCATGCCTCAAATGCCATAAACCTTTGTAGACTCCTAGCAGAGATTCACAGTAATTTTTCATATGTTCTGAATTCAAAAATATTTATCTAAAGACAGAGGGAGTGCTAATTCTTTCCAGTTTCGCCTGGCCCTTGTCTTTCTTATTGAACAGGAAGAGTGATCTGACAATAAACAACAGAGCACACTCACATTTAGAAACTCAGTGTTTGCTTCTATATTGTTATGTGTGCAACTTTGAAAACAAGTAGAAAACTGAAATACTGTGGCTTCAACCTAACTTTGAGTTCCTTATGGTCAAATGCTTCTGAAATTAATTCTGTACAGTCCTTCCTAAAAAGCCAGTGTCTTTCAATTCCCTCTCAGCTTTCCAGTCTTTTTATCTCTACCACTTCCCATAATTTTATCTTCTCTCATTATATGCAAATATTGTTCATACTGCACTAGCAAGCCATGTGCTCACTCACACATCAATAGCAAAAACTGTGATGAATCTTTCTCTGCCTGCTTCATCTCATGGTTAGGGTGACTTGGAACAGAACGTGTGTCAGAGCTGCCAGCAGAAACATGCTTAGGAAACAGGAAAGAAAGAAATTACCCACTTAAGATAGCAAAGATCATTCTGCTGGATCAAAGTACAAACCAGCAGGATCTTAGCAAAGCAAGCAGTATCTGCCTCAGGTTAACATTCCTCCCCTTAGAGAAAGGGATTTTCACAACATATTCCTTAAATTTTGGCATCAGAATAAAAAGCTATCAGAAACATTAAACATCTTTATAGTTTTTAGGAATCTATTCAGTATTAACTAAAATTCAGAAAGTCCCAATCCAATAAAAATGGTGCAGTGTATGATGTCTGGAATTATTTGAGGACAGCCTTCCATTTTCCTGCTTCAAAGTTCGCAATACAAAGCATATCACTGGACAGAAATGTTCAGAATATGCTCTTTAGATCACTGCTTGCTGCAGGCCTGTTGAGAGACAGATGGCCAAATGCATTGTCCTTGTTTCCATTTGATAGCTTGTTTTACGAGACAGACAGAAGTATATGACATTAATGTAGTATGCTAATACTACTTCCTATAAAAGAAATTGATTAAATGTGAAGTTCAAATTTTGCAAATATTAAAAAATACTGATAGGAAAGTATTTCACCAGTAACTACAAGTGGAAAAGAACAGTAAGAATTAAGAAAAAAAGTATATCATAGGAAAACCTCTCTCCTATAAGGTAATGCATATTAGGAAGTTTTCCAAGAACTGGTTTAGAGTATTGTAGGAACACAAGAAATGAAACAGTTAAAGCAAACCAAAGAACAGAAAAGACAGCTCAGAACTTCATTTATCTGAGTTTACATCAGCAACTTTAGACTGTGATGTATCAACTAGACTTGCTAAGAAATTGCATGACAGTTGCTTCTGTTTGACTAACCCACAGAGAATAACTTTTTGCACTTACCTTGTTACAGACAGAATAGCAGGATTACGTTTTACTTTTCTGATGAACAAAGGCCAAAAGTGTCCCAGCTAAATAAAATCCTCGCAGAACAGCACAATCATCAATATTCATCTACCTGCTATTTCAAGTAAGCTCACAAAGTGGTTAGTTAAAAATGTAAAAGCAAAATCACCTGCAGAGCAATCGTGGTATTCTTCGCTGGGTATTTCCCCACCAGTCCTTGTTCTTTGCGTTTCTTGAATTTCCTAAAGTAGTCCTGTATCAGGAAGGTGGCATAGAACTTCCCCACGGTTACCTCATCATCTAAATGAACAGACCAGACAGATCTCTCCCAGGTCAGCACATTTATCAATAGCCTGTACACTCATATCTGATTTGGGGAGGAAAATGTGATGGTTGCAATTGGTACTATGCTTTCAACTTACAACAGTGGCACCTGTAACTAGCTGAAAAGCAATGTTTTAGCAAGCAGTTTAGGCTCAGTCAGTTAAATGAACTCATCCTTAATAAAGAAGAAAACACAACACTTTACAGTCTAAATAAGTTCATGTAAGTTTCTAACAAAACCATAAATATGTTTGTATAGGCATAGAAGCTGAAAGACTGGCTTTAGCTATTTAGAATAAATGGATTAAAAGAAAAGCTACCGTGACTTAGATACACTTATGTTCATAAGAGTGACTCTCTTAAAAAAAAAGTTCTTGCTTACAACACCCCTCTTTGAACCAAATTTGCTTAATCAGTGTTATCAACACAGCACTGTTCTAATTGCATAAGGACATCTTTGCTGCCTGCTTTGCTATGAACATTTTTTAATTGGTGTCATGCCCTCACTATAATACCCAAGCATCTTCCAGTTCAAATTTTATATGTCCCAGGTGCTTACGTTGGGCTATATCTTCTGCCATCTTATTGTCACCCAGTAAGATAGATTCTAGGCTCTGAAGGAATTCCACAGACGTTACAATTTCACTTATTTTCTTGTTTAAGTGGAGATGTGGTCCTTAGCCACCTTCTAGACAGGTGATGATGATGACAATAGTAAATATGAAACAGCACGATGCTTTTCCACACTATTGTATATTAGCTCTGCAATGCTGATAGAAATGAAAATAACTTCCATCAGTTAATTTAGCCCAATACAAAAGATACACAAACAGGAAAATGCAGTAGCACCTACCATTTTTACAGAGTCACTGTTGTGAACAAAACCTGAATTTCAATGTTTTCAAAGTTTTCAAAGTTCCAAGGCAGGTACCTTATGAGGATATCAAAATCGCCTGGTTCATAGCATGTTAAGAATTCATGTGCCTGTTTTATGAGTTCCATTGAATCATTCAGCGATGCAAGTTTGATCTCTCAATGAGTAATGCTTGCCAGAAAACTAGGACCAGTTTTCTATTCAAAAACATTGCTTTTGTTTTCACACACTTTTCCCCTAGAGTTATCTGGCATGAAGTTAGTTATTTCCCTTTCTGCTGTGTTGCCTAATCTCTCAATTTTTTTCAGTACCTTGAGGTAGCTGTTTGCAACATGGTTGCTAGTTGGCTACTGCCATACATAAAGGAGGGCTGGTGTGTTTTAGGCATCAAAGTTCTCTCCACTGTCAGGGCCCACATCCTGACAGGCAGTAAGTTCCCATCGTTCCAGCGGCCCTTGCTGGGACAGACAGGTGCTTAACACATCCCAGGATCTGGGTTATTCTGTACAGCTGTGACTTGACTAAACACAGAAAATCTAATGTGCCCAGACACGTTTTAAGGCACCTTTGTTAGAAATTACGAATACTTCTTTAGTTTCAGGCCATTTGTTTTCTCCATATTCTAACTCTTTAATGGAGCTTTAGAATAGACTTGAGTTTGGTTTTTGTTTGTTTGTTTTGTGGTGTCTTTTCACATACAAACACACTCTGTTAAGCAAGCTTTTTCTCTAATTGATTGTCAAGCAAACTCTCTAATCGATCGTCATGTACTGCAACGTCATTTGTTAACATCTGATTAAGAGAGTCTCTGTGTCTTTGTTCTATCAATACTAATATGTCCCAGCGTATCTCACTAATGATAGCATTTCTAACAGTATTTTTACCTGTAATATGACAGCTTTTTCTAGTTTAAACTTAATTAACTTTCTTCTTTTCATGACTTGCTTTCACATCAGTAAAAAGGATAGGGAAATCCAATCCATGTACAATACTGTTTAAACTCATTTTTACCTCTGTGACAAAATTTGTCTCAAAACAAATCATCTTACTCTTCTCTCATTATAATGGGTTCTATGCATGCCAGAAAGTAGGACAGGCTTTAACTTCAGTAAAAATGTACCAAGGATGTATTCTCCCAGCAATTTCTTTGTCTTTAAATGTATCAAAGCAAAAGTAACTATAATAATTGCTTTAAAATATCTTGGGTGGGAGACCAGCCTGTTGCAGGAAACAGCACATCAAAGATCCTGCTCTGCCAAATACTGACATCTCTTCAAAAGTCTGAGTCCTTCCAGTTCCCGCTAGGAAACAGCAGGAACTCCACAGCTCACAAGAAAAGCTCACCAGTCTACAGATTCAATCTCAGCAGTACAAAGATTTTTAATTGACTCCCCAAATCTAATTTCTAAACTTTTTGTGAACATTTGCTTTAATGTTCATCTGTAATCTCTCTTGGCTGCTCCTTAGGAGACCAATGGTGTTTTGTATTGGGAAGACATCTCTTATAAATCATCTAATCTAAACTTGCCTGCCTTAGTTTAGCTGAATCCATTGATCTGCAATGTAGCCTGGGTCAAACTCCTCAGATAAGCCTTTCCCCATCCTTTATACTATTCTGTTTCAAGTATTTGAACAGAACACTTTTAAAGAAGTGATATAGCAAAAGGCTCCTAGAAAGAACAAGCACATAGAAGTGACAGACTTGATATAACATATACCACTATGGGTTGCACTTAAAGCTTATCTCAAGTCAGGCTACAACACTGCACGACTACTGACTGTACCTGAGACAACAATACCTGCAAAGTCTCATTATGCAGAAATTAAGGGCCCTTATTGATCACTCTGGACATGCACCAACTTTTTGTACGCAGGTTAGATGAATGCATTACCAGTTTGCTGATTTGTGCATGCCAAAGTCTGTATATACAAACAAGATGCGGGTGCACTTCACAGGCACAGTCAGTTGTACTGCAGACACGGGCACACAAGAACTGAAGCCTGGCCAAGGGAGCCATCCTTGACTTTGTTTTCTGAGTAACACACATATAGCTAGATATGGACAGGTATAGGGAGGCAGCTAAGCATAACTGACCAAAGAATAGACAAATCTATAATTACAATTAGAGACAGCAAAAGGAATAATTTCAGTAGGAAGTTTTTTGAAGACAGCAAAAAACTATTAGGCAGGATTAAATGGGCTTGCAGGTGGAAACCGGGAAGTTCAGAGAATACAGGAGAATCTTTAGTGAATTGCATGTATTTCTCTTACTCTCCAGTCTCCTAAGAATGTTAATGCATTCAGACATTCAGGCATTTGACTGGCATTCTATGTTTTTGCAAAGCAGAGTAATTTTTCTGTACTGAAAATATGTTGCTAGCTATTAACAGTTTAATTAAGTTATAGTAATGAGTTATTTAACCAGTACCAATAATTAACTAACTGTTCATTTCTAGTGCATCTCTTTATAGTTCAGGTAAAAATAAAGCTATACTGATTATTTTCATTCTGCTCTGCAAGTAATTGTTCTGTCTGTGTTCTGGAGGCATGGTTATGCGCACAGGAAGCACTCGGTAATACCAGAAAAAGTAATACTGGAAAAAACCATTACAAACCACACTGCTCAATACTTTTAAGTGCAACTGATTTTAACATACTGAATTTGGATGCTTTGTTGACTTACATGTAAGAGAATTTTCTGTTTCCTAGCAGATTGTTGTTATCAGCTGTCACCAATGTTATTGTTATATACAATTTTCTATTAAATTTTAAAATAATTTCTACTCTATACTAAGCTATTTTATACTCTTATGGCATATGAATTTAAAACAGCTATAGTCCTCTCTTTAATAGGCAAGTTACAATATTTTCAATTTTCAGGTAAGTCAAAAGAAAGTCCACAGAGAAACAAACCAAACTGAAATAAACAATTTGTAAGTCTTAAGGACCTCCCAACACATTCTCATTTATGCTGTGCTGTAGAAGCCATACTGTCGCCTATCAATCAAGCAGTGATCCAGGTTTTCAGCCTCCTAGCTACACTAAAGTGCTACATTTGCAGAACAAATATTAGCAATGAATTTTAGTATAGCTGAAAATAAATATACAGCTTATATTCAGCGATGAAATGAAGCTGAAGTTAACAGTGAGTTACTATGTAAGATTAGTCCTAGGAATGTAATCTTTACAGATTCTTTGTCAGATTGATTTAGGCAGGCACAGCTCGCTATTCTGAAGCATGCATCTCTATTTCAATAAAAAAATGTAGGGGAATAAAGTTGGCAAGAGGCAACACTAATTCCATGCCACCACCCTAAAACAGAATTGCTTCAGAATATTCGGAAAGACTCATAGTTGAAAGGAACAGAGGCTGCAGAAAAAGCTCAAGCACATAGTTACAACAATAACAAAGCAATTCATCTATGCCATGCAAGCATTAAGGTGTAAGGCTAAAAACAACAGAGTAGAACACAAAAAGTTGTTTTAAATGTGCAGTATCAGTTCCCCTTTGGATAGGAAAATTTGCTAGATTTTTGCCTTCATCCCCACTATTATCCGGCAGCCACCACACCAATAGCAAGTGGCTCCCTCCAGCGACAAAGCTAATGCTGCTTCTTGGGTCATGCTGAACAGCAGTGCAGCCAGCATGCTCTTCTGCCCCAGAGACTGAGAGTGTCACCTTCCGAAAGGGATCAGCCTCCACCACCACCGGGCCTGGGATCTTGAGTCTGCTTCCAAACCTGAGTCTGAGCAGTCTTGAAAGCTGCCGTAACACTATAAAAGTACAATAAACTACAAGAAATACCAGGTGATTACAATGGATCTTTGTATTGGACGTATAGATAAATATATCCTCGGTGTGGGTGACAGTGCAACAGATCCTGCACCTTTAAAACTTGAAAAGGCAAGTAAAAAACAGTCACCTAAACCTACACTACAGCATATTAATAAAAATGTATATATTGAAAAAGGCTAAATATATATATATCAGAATATATATATTTAAAAAGAGAGCTATGATAAATATTTGACATGTCATTTTACAGCACGTAGGAACAACTAACATACGTGCCTTTAGTTCTCACAAACGTATTGGTGTCATTAGACTTTAGATATCTCTTTACATGGGCCATATTCGTATCTCAGTCATACTGGCATAAATCTGAACCATTTCCATCATCTGTTGACTATGGAACTGCTCTGGTTTAAACTAGTGTAACTGAGATAATTTAGCCCCTTCATTTACTAATTTAGGAAAAAAAATATCTTTTTAAGCTGGCAATTAACTATTTAAAAATTTTTCTCCCAGAAGTATTCAACATATACAAGGATATAAACTATAATTTAGTGTACATTGTCAAGCTTAATTAGTACAAAAGATACTACGTTGCTCAATGCAAAGAAAGTTTAGTTTATTTTGCTGCATGACCTGAAATCAAGACTAGATTTAAGGTCTAATAAGGTGTTTTTTTCAAGCAAGAAAATAAGCAGAACATTTTCCTCTTTCTTTTTGATCTAAGGAAATGGTACTTATCACTCCTATATGTATTATCTAGTGTAACAGGATATAATGTTCTCTACATTTATTTTGTTATTATTGTTTGTTGTCCTTTAATGACATTATAATTGCAAAATTTAGTAATTTTATTTCTTCAGTTCCTAACAATCTAGAAAGACCAAAACGCACAGAGAACAGCATACTGCAAAGTTTATCAGACTGACCGCCAGCTGGAGGGACAACTTGATCGAGTAATTTCATGCTTGTTTTCTTCCATATTTTCTTTATAACTGCTCTAAGTTCTTCATTTGCTTGCTCTAGGTTACCTGTGGCAATGAGATAGAAAAATGGAGGATGGCAATTATGTTTCAACCAGATGCAATGCTTGATCCTTTGGATATTAATTAGCTGTATACAAAAAAAAGACTGTGATCAGGATGCTTTGCAGCAAGCCTAAGCTACATGAAATAGTATATAACAATACTACAACAACCAAAGAGAAGAAAATGTGTAAGACAGTGTCCTGGACTGAGGTAAATAGAACTAATTTTCTATTTAGTGGTTTTACTTTTCAGCTCAGTCTCTTCTAAGTGGCTGAACTTGCTGAAACCAGCAGCACGTTTTTCCAGTATGTGCTGCTAGAAACTGATAATCTCAAGGTCAACTGTCTCACCATGGGTGCTGTGCCTGTGCCTACGGGGGGGAAGTGGACCCAAAACTGACCAACGAGGTATTCCATCCCACACACGTCATACTCGGTAAAAAGCCGAGGGATCACAAGGGTCTTGACCCTTCCATCTTGGAGCCGTTCCAGCTCAGACCCTTCCGACCATCTCGATCCTGCAGCGGCCAAAGTCTGAGCAGACCCTGCTGGTCTGTCTGCCTCCTATCCTGATCCCTGTGTTCCTGCATCAGCTCCCACTGCTGCTGAGTCCAGACTGGGACTTTTCCAGTGCCCTGCTCTGCAGAGCCTCTGGTGATGTACTCGTCATTGGGGGATTGTATATTGGTTTTGTATATATATTTGTACATATTTTTATATATTTCATTGTTTTTCTATTTACATTATTATTCTTTAGTATTAGTATTATTGTTTTATTAAATCTGTTAGTTTTATTTTCCAACCCGTAAGGTCTCTCTTTCTTATTCTCTTTTCCCTTCCCTTCTGGGGAGGAAAGAGGGATTAATAAAGAGCGTCTGTCCAGGATTTAGTGGCCAGCCCAACCCTAAACCACAACAGACAGCAAGCTCCTGGGGCTTTCAAATCAGTCTCTGGACTACCGCAGAGGTCAACTCTAATTTACAAATCTTGGCTCTACTCTATCACTGCTCAACACCTTCTGCTTAAATTGTGCAGAAAGTGATGACTTGCTGTCTACAAGCCACTTCTTTCTTGATCCAAAGATGAGCCTTTATTTGTTTAATCATAGTAATTACTTAGTTGCACAGGCTTGAAAGTTCAGGCAACTGACTAGAGAGCAGCTTTTTACCTCTTGCAGTGCTCACCTAAGCCACAGCAATGCCTGAGGAAGCTTAATCTAATCCGTTTGTTATTGGCAGTGGAACTCAAATTCTGCTGAGAATAGCAGAAGACAGAACAGAAAGTAGTAAAAGACAGTAAAATACTGAAAAAATCTATGAAAATAGAAAGACAATTCTCTGAAGGATACCACTATTTTTAAAAATGTTTCCCTCTGATGCAAATGACAGAAATCCATACCAGCAAGTCAGAACTGGCCTCAACCAAACTCAGGATTCTGCTTTTAAGTGTGCAAAAGCTGCAGTTGCACCAACGAGGGCTCCAAGGCACCAAGTTAGAGTAGTGAAGAAGGAGCACCTTGGTTGGACAGAAAGGGGAAATCATTCATTCCTTGCAGTAGAACTCTTGTTACGCCACTGCTACATGTTTTTATCTGACCACATAAAAGCATATAATAATTTCTGAGATTTCTTGGGCTCTGGCCTCACTATCTTTCCTTTTCTTTTCTAGCAAATCATTCCAGCAACAGTGAATACAACTCATGATGCAAAAGCAAAACAAATACCATGAGATGAAGGCAGCCTTACTCATGTCCAACAAAATGAATAAAGTAAGTTGTAACTTTTCCTCATTGTACCTTCTGACAAGTGCAGTAAAGGCTTTAGAGCTAAGAACCTTACCTTCTGTTTTTATCTTCAGAGCAGTCCTAACCAAAGCAAACAAAGTAGCATTGAACATGACGGTTCCATCACTGTTTAGTGGCATATTCATGGCTACTAACCTCTGTAGATAAGAAAAGGAAAACAATTTTTTATATGGCTTTGTTTGGAAAAAAACATCTCTTGTAATGATCATTTTTGAAAAGCTTATGTATTCAAAGAATGATATCCACTGAGAGGCATAAAAATTATGTCAGTCTTCAAAAAAAGCTGTCTTCCATCCTAGATGTGTATAATAACCACCCAATACTGCTTCTTTCTGGTATTAATCACATGCATGCTTATAAAAAACCCAAAGCTGTCCAGTAGTTTTCATGAGCTATTTATTGAGTTCATTTGCAAACACTGACGCTTAGTCCCTGGCCACAACTAAGTCACATTATGCAAATTTTAAGGACAAATGCAGTTCTTTAAAAGCATGCAGTCCAGTTGCAGTCATGTTCCAGGTTCCCCATGGGTTCCCTCCAGCCTCATGCTCTATGAAGAACCACAGCACCAGCTCTGTCTTGTATAAGCTGCTTCATTTCTCAGGTAATTCTTCAGTGATGCTGTGCACCCATTAAGCTATTTACACTGAATTAGTGTGAAAGGAGCTTTCTTCTTTGGATTAGTCCATCTCTGCATTAGTGCTCATCTTTTAGAGTAATATCGCTGTGACCCTGTCTGTCAGAAGAACACTATTTAATCTATTAAAATATTTTCCTAAGGTCTGACGTGGATTTTTTTTCTATTCTAGTTTGAAAGCATTACTCAGTTGGATAATTTATCTTAACATACAGATATCGGTTTGCTTTAAGTATGCCCTGTGGCATTCCATTTGAACTCAGCATTTTATGCATCAACTTACCTATTTATAACACAGATACAAAAGAAATCCAAATGTTGTAACAGTCCTTTAGTTAAAAGGCTTGATCTTATTCCTACTGAAATTGCTAAAACCACAATATCCATAGTTCTAAAGTCCTCAAATAACATAATTATTCATCTCTTGTGTTGCTTTTCAACTTTTATATTAAAATGCAATTAATCTGCATCTAAATTTACACATTGTGCCGGACAAATTCCACATAATTTTAAAGTCTCTTTAATTTTGAGTCTCTCACTCACTGCTACGCACTGTACTGTACATTTCAGCTTAGTTTATCCCCAGTGGGCAGTCCCCACCCTTCAATCTCATTTCTGTGCAACACACTTCTCATGAATGCAACTGTATCAAAACTTAGCTGTCAATTAAAGTAAACTACCACCCTGCTTCTCCCTGGGACTGAAGAGAAATCAGAAACATCACTGAGTTGAAGTACTCTCATATGTCTGGGTCTCCAGAAATGCTGGGATGAGACAGTTCATATACATGATAATAATGGACTAATGACCAATTTACAGACCGATCCCTTCATCTGGATGCTCTCTGAAGAATTTTACATTGATGGTAACTACTCGGATGAGTACACTGAAATAAATGACACTCATTTTGCTGGTTTAAGTCAAGCCTGTATAAAAAAGGGAAAACTTCAGACTGAAGGAGACCTTGTGAACAGACAGGATTACTGTGCATGTGTGACACATATGAGGCAGAAAAGAATGAACTGTGAGAGAAACCTAGAAAGAAAATACGGTAAAACCTACCTTGCAGGCCACTCGGTGAGGGCACAATTTGCCAAAACCCAGTGGTGGCTGAATGCGTCTCAGTAATGTAACCACATCAAGGTGCTTTATCCTTCCCCTAGAACAAACACACTTCAGTTACCTAATATACACCTATTCTCAAAGAATATACTATGCTTTGGCTTTAATGTTTTTACCAGACACATCTTATCAGAGAAATTATCTAACTTACTTTGCTTCAGGATCATATTCTGACCATATCCTTTTGAACTCATCCAAATGATGGGGACCCAGAATAGACCAGTCACGTGTCAAGTAATCAAAATTATCCATAATGACAGCCACAAATAAGTTTATAATCTAAAAAAGTAATTAAGAACAATGTCCTATAATTATTTTGAAATATAAATAAATAAATAAAAAAAATAATTTTTACAAAGTAGCAGGTTAAGAATTCAAACAAATGAATTGATCTCATAAATACTGATTTCTGGAAAATATCAAATATTACAGAAAATACTTGCTAACCATTTGACTGACTAACTGGAAGTCTATCAAGTAACGATATGACAAGAGCATGATTCTATCTTAGAGCACTCAGCCTTTGGCAAAGGCTCTAACATGGTTTCGTTTCTCTCCATTGTTTTGCCAGACCCCACTACATTAAATTATAGAATGGATGCAGTACTTGTAATGGACACAGTGCAGATCTCAGGAAACAGCTCTTCTATTAATAGGAATCACTTGTCATGACAGTAAGACTTCTGCATACTTTTTGTTAACACAGAACAACAGAACGTGTATATTTACATTAGTTCACAGAATTCTGTTCAACCACTCTCCTTCTGCAAGGAGAACAGTACTGTGAATAGAATAAATCAACAAGCTTAGACCAGACACCTGCAATAAGGAAAATTATATCTCAAAGATTTTTAGAGCAAATAATCCATTATGCCATGGATTAGGAAGAAAGGTTATTGTTCACATCTTATTTGCCACAGTTTGAGCACACTGGTAGAGACATGAATCCAAATTCCACTAAGTTTAAATAATACAAAAAGGATTATTAGTAAGTCAAAGGAATTGCAGCTTTACTGTTAATGAATATTTAATGATACTACTGAGAAATGCACGAAATAATAGGTGATGAAAAGACTGTTAACTTAGCTTTCAAACATGCAACCAATCACTCCTGCATACATGCAGTCAGAAAAACATCTTCAGAGAATGTTAGGAGTTGGAAGAGACCTT